TCTCCATATTCCCTTTCTAGATCTTTTCTAGATCTGCCTTTCCGAACTACTTAAAAAGCACGTCAAATTCTTCAAAGTAAGCCTTAATTAAGCCCACCCTAAGTTCTCACCTTATGATAGTTGAACTCCGGGTGTGGCCCTTGTGTTTGGTCCGAGTTGTACCAGTCTGCTTACGGCAAACGTCCTCTTCATCCCCTTGCCGTAAAGCAGACTGGTAACGAGTCTAGCTCCCCCCGTTACAGATGGTCCACACAGTCCGGTACCTCAAAATCTCGACCTTGTAATTTCACCACAATACACGCATACATTAAATACATTCCTCGCACCCCACCCAGAACCCACCCCCTGCACCCTCGTTGCACGCGTCCCTATCCGCCTGGTCCTGTGCTGCAGCGACCTTGTCCCCCGCCTGCGTGTCCAATGCGAGCTTGGTCTCGAGCCCCGCCTCCTCGCCATGGAACTCGAACTCCTCGCCGGGCGCGCCAGTGGCGATGGCGGCGGCATGGACGGACGCGGCGGGCGCCGATGCGGCGGCGACCTGGGTGGCGATGTTGTTGACGTCGGCGGCGGCGGCCGTGGTGGGGATGGCGGTTGTAACGGCAATCGCGCCCTGCCAAGAGCGTCAGTATTATCCACGGTATGCTCTCGGAGGCGAGGGACGCACAGTCGCGATGTCTGCCGTGGCTGCAGCCGATTCCGCCTTCACATAGAAATTTAGTACGCCTTGTTTTGCGCATTCACTGGCATTCACGGTGCGAGGTGTCAAGCATGTCAAGCGGTAAGACTTTTACCGGCGCTTAATTATGTGGCGGTGCCGGCCATCAAACCCCGCCACCTAAGGAGTCGCCTAAAAGGTCACGTGAGGGTCCTCTTAGGTGGGTTTCTCTGTAGTAGCTAAACCTACCTAAGAGGACCATCTCCGGCGGAGGTAGACCCGCGCTTCGATTACATAACCGGTCTCTCCTCGGAGGCGGGCGCCTCCCCGCTGTTGATGACATCAATTCTCGAGCCCGCTGCGTCGGGAATTGGCCCGGCACCCTCCCTGATCTCCCAATATTCACCAATTCGCACCAGTAAGTACCCTATCGCACCTTTGCATTTGTATGTAGCGTTTGTCAAGGTCCTTGCACTTTCCGCATGTAAAATCAACACATTTGGAACCACTAGGTAGGTCTCCATCGGGCGGCCACCAGACGGGGTTGCATATTATACTTAGCGCACCTTTTACCAGATACTGTGTAAACATGTGTTGGAATCCTAGCGAAATATGTGTGTTTGCTTTTCTTGCTCATCTTTCGGTAGCCTCCAAAATTCGAATCGTGGGGGCCTCCTCCGTGGCTCGCAGACTCGGAAATTGCCATCCACAGCGTCAATAGCGTCTCAGCTTATTTCAATTGGTTGATTGAAAACCCATGGAGTCTGGAATACTTCCCTGGATACTGCACTAAGAATTTGGAGGCCTCCAAAAGGTGCTTTCCTTGTTTTGCAGAATTTTTCTCCCACCTCTCACTGTGCAAATATATGTAGAAGCTCTGGTTGTCCTGAGGTCCTCTGGATAAAACCTCCCTCCGTCCGACTCAGGCGACGCGCTTTTGATCTCCTCCGGTGCTTGGTTCAAATATATAATATCTTCAATTCCTGTTTACTGGACACATTTGCGGAGTTTAACTCAATGTAATCTGCTGAGTTTGATGCTATGGAGTGCATTTTATAGGCTAAGTGTTGTTCAATTCAATGTGAAACATAATACTCCGAGTCTGGTGTCAACTGTCAGGAGATGTTCAACCACCTGGCCAAGGTTGCAATCTGAAATATGAAGCAAGACTTGGCAATTCCGAAGTATCCAGGAAGAGGACCTATGTGCGGCTTAATTTCATCCCTGTGGTATCCTCCACAACACAAAATTTGGTGACCTCTTCTACATTTGAATAACGACAAACTGCACCATTTATAGGCCAGTAAGTCTTGCGAATGATTTTCTCATGTATGAGTAATTACCAGTCACTCGCATGGTATTAATACTACGACTTTCAGGCCTTCTTGCAATGTTGGAGGCCTCCATTTCAACATTGGGGAGACCTCGGTTTGTCAGAATTTACGGGTCTGTGAATGACTGTCTGCTTAAATTGTGAGCTGAAAATACCATCAGAACGATTGGAACACTCATCTGTGAGTAGGAGATAACTTTGAGCACTTACATAGCTGCATAAAGCATCACTTTGTTGATTTCTCATGTTTCCGTCCCATATTTTGTTCATAAACATCTCTGCAACCTTCCACGACCATTTTAATTCATTGTGGACAGGTCATACAACATCTACTGTGATCCTACACGAGGTAGAAATTTATTGGAATTCTTGCATGTAATGTTCTTGTAAAGTACATGGGTTTCAATACTGAACCTTGGTTGGCTTCGGTGACTTTTCATGCACCTGGAGACTATATTTTGTGAGGGCCGGTGATGGTGAATCTGCTTAATAATTTGATACCGGGCATCCATAAGCTTCAATTTGAGCACCAGGTCCAATTTTTTCGAGGGTCATATGTATGTGCAATGAATTTTTTAAATTAGACCCACCTTTATTCGTGCTCTGATTGGCTGATCAGTCACCGGGCCGGAACCTCCTTGCCAATGAACACGGGTGTGACGAGTATCTGTACTGGTTTTCTGCTCACTGGGTACAGTCCTTGTTTATTTTCAAGGGACTAATAGTGTCTTTAATCCCAGACAGGAGGCCCCTACAGGAACGGAGACCTCCGAATTTCGCTTTAACTTCTCATTCTGCCTCCAGATCATGGTTGAATCGTCTTCAAAAAAAATGCTATCACAAGTAGAATCATTGATCATCTTTCTAAATCGACCGATGATCCCGTTACTCCTTGATAGGTCTCCGAAGCAACAGAGGCCTCTGAATTTCTGGTTCAACTTCTCATTCTGCTTCGAAATTATGATGAATCATCTTGAGTGAGTTTTATTACAAGAACATTTGAGTGTTTATTCTGCCTATAGTCGTATTTTTTATACCCCTGCCGGTATGAAGCCCTAGGCTCCTACCCTCCAACCTCAAGGTACACACATATTTCCAAGACCTCTCACAATCAACAGAGACTTCGCAGGTTCAAATTCAGATGTGCAGTGTTTCATTTTTGAATTGCTGATCCCCCGACGCTTCCGGGGTTTCCTCTGGAGGCCTTCGTAATTTTTGTTTGATTTGTTGGTTAGCATGTATGTTCAGGGCTCTCCAACACGAGAAGAAAATTAATTGAACTACTGGCTCCGAGAATGGCTAGTGTTCAAGTCCACTCGCAAGACCAAGTCTGCTAGCAATGCAAGAGGCCTCCACATATCGCCGAGATCCCTGAAAGGTGAGTGTGAGCAAGGAAATGAAATATGTGTGCCGAAATTTGGGAGAAAAATACTCTTCAGTATCTCAACCGAGCATCTAATGAAAATTGAGCTAATATATGTAGTAGACAACCGCCCGGAGACCTACCTACTGGGTTCAATGCATTGATTGGACATGCAGGGAGCTAGGTGGGTGTCAAAGGGCAGGCTAAACATCAAGTATAAATGCAAAACTGCGCGAGGGTATTCACTGGGGAGCGGAATTGTTGAATATTCGTGGACCAAGGAGGCTTCCAGGCCGATTCCCGATGCGGTGGGCTCAGAAATTGATGCCATCAACAGTGGAGAGGCACCCGCACCGAAGAGAGGCCGGTTGTGTAACCGAAGCGCGGGTCTACCTTCGCCAGAGACGGTCCTATTAGGTAGGTTTAGCTACTACAGAAAAACCCACCTAAGAGGACCCTCACGTGACCTTTTAGGTGACTCCTGAGGTGAACCCCGCCGTCGTCCGCATCCGAGTCATCCGCCTCGTTCTGCTTTCTGCGCTTTGCCCACTAAAATATTCGCTCGCCGACGGTCCTCCTTTCGCACAACAAGGTTCAGGTTTAACTCGAGTACAGATCTCCGGCGTCGAGATCCCTACGAGCTCCAGACCCGACCGTCCGCATGCCGGGTAGTAGCCACCTTCGTCACTTCGTTACTTCGCGTAGGTACGTGAAACTTCGTCACTTTGATGGGAATCTGAGAAAGTTCGTCACTTTCCTCCTTTCTGTGAAAGCTCGTCACTTCAACTCGGCACCTTCAAGACCTCGGAACACCGGCCATCAGTGTTCATTCACACAAGCCGGGGAGTGTTTTTTTATATAGATCCCTCACCCTAACACTAACCACTAACCACTAACCACCAACTGCTAAACAGTAATCTCAAACCCCTAACCTCTAACCAAAACCACCTAACCAAAACACTAACCTCACCCAAACCTAACCGGCTATTTCGGCAAACTTTTGATTTTCATCACTCCGTGATGTGCCGAGGAGTCGGCGCTTGACAAGCCCAGAATAGCAACTCACAAACTTTCATAGAAAGCCATCAAAGTGACGAACTTTCACCAATTCCCATCAAAGTGATGAACTTTCCCAACGCTACGCGAAGTAACGAAGTGACGAAGATGGCGCGGACTCCCGCACGCCATATCATATCCGCCACTCACAGCCTGTCTTTGCTCGACAGTGGAAGGCCCCTCCGTCCGTGTCCGTGAAGGCACGGCACACGGGAATCTGGTCCACCTCACCTCTGCTGCGGGAACAGGTACATAAGAGGAATGTGGATAAATATAGCAGATGGTGAGGACCAATCACGGCCTGGTGGTGGAAAGGTTAAGACGCCTGCTTTAAATGATCATATTCCCCTTTAAAGTGGGAGATTCCTTATTCGAATCAAGGCCAGGCCGTTCTTTTTTTCACACCGCTGTCCTATTTCGGTTACATCAACCGCGCTTGAACTGCACCGTGCGGGAGGGAGCAAGCAAGCGTTTGAGAATTCCAATCTGGATTCTGAGCAAACCGTTATGTGTCTTTCCAGGATATTTGCGGAGGACTTATGATTCAAGCTTTTCAGACCCTGTTATAGCCAAGTTGGTGGGGACGTAAGGGTGGCCTGGTGGTGTAATGGTAAACACGTCTGCTTACATTAAGTATGATAAGTGTTGGCATTTTAGCAGAAGGTTCCTTGTTCGAATCAAGGTCGGACCGTTCCTTTTTCACCCGCTTCTCTTGGGCAAGTTTGAAGAAGCGGGGTTTCATGCAAGTTTGTGGGAATGTAAGGGCGGCTTGGTGGTATAATGGTTAACATGCCTGCTTTAAATGTTTCTGTGATTTTGTACTCATTTACAATGGGAGATTCCTTGTTCGAGTCAAGGCCAGGCCGTCTTTTTTCACATCCCACCTCATTTCTTATACTCACTCTATTGAATTTCAAATAAACCCTACTTGAACCGTATGGTGGTGCGTTCATATTTTGTGCTGATAATTTCACTTGCAAGTTCAAGTGCACTATATCTAAGTGAGCAAATTCAGACGGTGTCATAACCAAGTTTGTGGGATCATAAGAAAGGCCTGGTGGTGTAATGGTTAACACAGCTGCTTGAATTGATCTGCTACATCTTTTATATAGCGGGAGACTCCTTGTTCGAATCAAGGCCGGGCCATTTCTTTTTCACAACACGCTTTTCGTCTGTCTTCTTTACACGGAGAACTTTGCGAACCTTGCGACAACTCAAGGCCCCCGATCGAGTCTGGAGCTGATCAATCCACCGTACGGAACTAAGGAAGTAATTCGTTGGTGCACTGATAATTTTTTGTTCGTAATTCCACAAGTAGAATTGGCAAGTTCGAGTGCATTATGTATCTGAGTAATTCTGACGGCGTCATAGCCAAGCCTGTGGGAGTGTAAGGAAGGCCTGGTGGTGTAATGGTTATGGCAAATATATATAGCGGGGGATTTTTTGTTCGAATCAAGGTCAGGCGATTTCTTTTTCTGTGTATCAACGTACGCCGACATTTTTCCGCCAACAAAGTCCGCTTTCTTTCAGCATCAAAATTTAATCTCGTCGTCTCCTTTTGCATGGCAGATTTGAACTTGAACTAGGGTTGAACTTGAATTTCTCGAGGGAGAATTGGCACGTGCCAACTCGGCAACTGCCGGACGACTCTTCTTTCACCATCCACCACCACCACCCGACACCCCGGTTGAGTTCGGCGCCTCCAAGTTCCAGCCTTTCAGCACCACACACACGTTGGCCCATGGCTTTTGACTGCCTGGCACGGGCTCGACTGACACTTGAAGTCGGGATGTGGGTCTCTTCAAGTGCGCTGCGGATCCCTTCATCTTGCTCTTCATCAACTCTTTATTGTTAAGTCAAGTTCAAGTGCGCCCTCTACTAGTGGCTCCCGAGTCGACGCGCGCTGGCCTGACTTTCTGCGGTACCTCACATTATCCCCCGGGCCTGCTCGTTGCAGGAGTCTAACAGCTGGAAGAACCTGCCGAACGAACGATAATGGACATGAAAGAGTTTGTCAAACGGCCGGAAGAACTTCAAGTTGTCGGACGGCGTCTCAAGATGAACCTCCTAAAGTGTCCTCGACGTCCCCCCACCGTATCACGGTAACTTGTCAGGTTGAGGCCACCAAATGGTCTTTCAGCTATTCGAACGTCGCAGGCTCCCCCGGCGGTCCCATTGATTCCGGTGTTGTTCTCCGGTACGCTGATGCATCTATATATTCAACGCTCATAACCAGCAGATGCGCGGTGGTTCGCCTTATCTTTCTGGCGTGGAGAAGGTGATTTCCTGCGCGCAGCCAGGATTTGCAGCTGGCGCCGAATTGTTCGTCACGGTGCGTGCTAGATATTTGCCGCAAGCGCTCGATGGATGAAAGAAGGTCTTGTGCCTCTGCCAGTGAGTCGAGAGTCGCGCAGCCTCTGCGAGCCGGCCCTCGCTGTGTCGGCGCACTGGTATTCTTGGAACTCGACCGATTTGGGGATCACGTTCGGGAATATTGACACCCATCGACTGGAGTGCCTTCCTTTCCGGGTTCCACGCGCTCGAGGTCAATTTTGCGTGGGCTATATCTATCCTTGCGCGTGTACGTTCCCGCTGTCCACCCGAGGATTTCACCACTGACAGCCCAACAACCTACGACACCGCTCGAGATGCGTGTGCTACGCCGATCCGGCTTTCAACATCCAGAATATTGATTGAACCTACAAACGGAACCCTCCCTCACCTCAACCTATTGTATTGGACTCCACCCGCCCCCGTTTCAACGTTCGACTTTACCCACCTCCGTTTCAAGCTTTCGACTCCACTCGAGATGCGCACCTTACGGCGCGATTCCGGATTCCGTGGCCAGAACATGAAACTCGCGGGATAAAATTTCCTCACCCGTTCTCTTTCACCGCCACTTGACTCCACCACCGATTCAACCCGACTCGACTCGACTCCATCACCGATTCGATGCAACTCAACACATAGCGCGCAATCTGCTATACGCTTCCATCTAGTCTAACCGTGTCCTTGTCTAACTTTGTTCTCGACTTCGCGACTCCACTCAGACTCCGCCCGTCGTTTCGATCTTTCGCAGCGACGGCCTTCGAGACTTCAGCTGGAGACTTCGGTTCAGTGGGAGGATCCATCTTGTCTTTGTGAGTACATCTAAACGCATAGGTAGATTTAAAGTCAAGCGAGCTGCGCGCTGCGCGATTTTCGCGGGTTTGCTTTGTTTCTGTTTACTCTACTTTAAAGCCATCTTTGCTCTAAGCCGCAACTCCACCGGTTTGCTCCCAGCACACGTCTATCTCGCTCTTCGCTCGGCTCCATCCCGCGGAGTCTCCACTCGGAGCACTAACCATTTGATGCTTGCATTTTAAAATATCGATGCGTGCATTTTAAAATGCCCTCATTCTGGCTGGCGTTTGGTGAATATGGGCACGGCCACGGGTGCGTGAACCCCTGCATCCGTTCCTCTTCCGGGATTTAACTTCTCATGCGCGCGGAATTCACTGCATGGGCATTTCTCTTGCTACTTAACGCGCGACTCGGAGAACCTCCAGCATTATGATTTCGGGCGCGCTTGCTACGTATTAGTAGTCCGGCTCATCTTCAACCTACCTTGAATTTAGATTTCCGCAGTTTTTATCAATTTGTACCCGTCGAAATAAAATTATAGTTTCCTTGGCTCAAGAGTATAGCACGCAAGCAGAAGATGGGAACACCGTAGCTATCCCCGGGGTTTGATATAAGTGACCATTCGAGGGTCGGATAGTTGGTTGTGAACGACACGGTCAACTCAGGCTCTATCGACAGATCAAAATTCTCCTCCATGGTTTGTAGTGCGTTGTGTGTTTATCGTGTCCCCCCCCCACGGTACGCCCAGAACGTACGCTGCACCGTCTCGAAAATTCATTATATATAAGCAAGTGCTGCTGCCTGCCGCCGGCAGTTATTTTGCCGTCTCAAGGGCCAGGGTGAAATGTTTACTGCATCGCTCAGGTCAGCTCGCACAGCTTGAAGGACATATTCAGTTCTCCTCTCCTTAGTCCAACTCCGAATCGTGCTCAAAATGATCATGATTTTCGATCCGCAGGCGCTGGCCGCCGCGTCATCAGACCTGAAAACTTAATTGAAGTCTGAAGCATGGGCCCAGAGTCCCTCTCAAGGTGTGTTTGAGACTCTGAGTACACGCAGGCGACAAGAAAATCCCACGTTCTGCAGGGGCCACCTTTAAAGTCGACCGAGATGACAACACTGCAAACCCGTCAGTAGGCTGGATTTTTCTTACCAGTCCATTTCGCAGATAATCATAGGCACGTCGATATCCGGTGTGCAAACTTGCATCCTATGTACTAGCTTTGAAATGGAGGGGAAAAACAGGTCTTGCTGCGATTTCATTGACGGCTGCTGGGCATGACATCCTTGTTTTAGAAAAGGAATCACAACTCGGAGGACCAAATTCGGTATGCATGTTCTCTCGAGCTGCCAATGGCCGTTTCCAAACAATTCACTAGATACTACGGACAGGGATTCATACCAATAGGAACAAATTGTTGGGATCCCGAAATCATGAGTGATACCTGAGGGAACTTCCTGCAGATGCGGGTGAGTGCCTTCATTCAGACTCTTTTTTTCGTTCAAGAGGCTGGATGCAATTTCCATGCTAGCACAAGGATCTTCTGCGCGTTCTCTACGATGCCGTGATGCACGAGCCTTCCCGTACTTTCATTGTCTTAGAATATTCTCTCGCCTTTGCCGATGGTTCTGCCTTTCGCATGACTTGGACATAAGGCCTAAGGTTCAACTCAAATACAGGTGTAGATCCACAACACAGGCTCGAGCCCCGATTCGCGCACCATATGTGTCACTCGCAGCCACTCCCCGGGCCTTTGCCTTCTTATCTTCAGCTTGATCAATCACCACAACACAAGGTACATTCATAGAAGGCGCGACGCAGGGAGGAGAACCCCAACTCAGCTCTGCTTCAGACTCAGCTGCTGATGGTGAGTCCCACTCTTTGTATTGCCGTTACTACTCATTAGTGCGACTGGTTTAATGACAGTGGGAGTTGGTGAGTGGAAAGTTTCACCCCGACTCTTCTAGTATAGACTCTTCCTGCAGCATTGATCTTGCTCCAAGCATACCCATACTCACACCGCGGCAGTTAGTGCTGTGCTTTGTGCTCCTCCTTTGAGCAATTATTGATTTGCTGACTTCCAATGCAGAGCTTTGATTCATTTCTCCGGATGTGCGATATGTATCTTCCGACTAAGTTGCATACTCTCTTCAATCACACTTCTCCTGAATATTGCCAGGGATATTTTAGCGTCGCGGCACGGGTCGTTGGATTGTCTGCGAATGAGCAGCTGACAATCTGCCGACCAAATTTCAGTCCAACTGAAAATCATACTTTCGCTTTTCATCTTGGCCCAGCTCAAAATCTGAGTGGAAACTCTGCATTTCAGGAGGGCTGAAATGAGAAAGCACAGCTGAGACTCCAGTTTTGGTTTTGGACCGAAATGTAATTGATATGTCAAGTATCAGTTGGTCTTTTTTTCAGTCACAATACATTTAGTTTTGAGCATTAGTTTCAGCTCGTTACTCTATGCCAGACCGGCCGTTCCCGTTTCAAAGTTGTTTTACTCTATGGGGCGGCTGGAGGTAGGGTCCTTCTGGGGCATTGATTTGCTCTGTCGCCGACCGCCATCAAAGGTAGTGACCGGGGGCCTTTCCAATGCCACCCAATTGGATGTGAAATGCGAAGATCTCAAGTACTAGTGCGAGATGATTCTTTCTTACAATCCGACACATTATATTTCAAAATATTTCAGTGAAGCCGGAATTTAATCTGATTCAACTCTTTCAGTTCAACCTGTACATATACATAAACTACTGGACTTTAATTTAAGTACGCCGGAAGTGCTATTCGAATTTTAGGTGTCAAATAGCACTTCCGGTGTGCATAAATTTGGCAATCATCGGTGTGTCTGATCGACTTGTTCAGTTTCCGCATCATTTGTAAGACCCCGATTTGAGAATTTGATGAGGCGCCGCCAACATTGCCAATTATACTGACGAGTATGTCTCTTTCTAAACTTAAGCCTTTCTAGATGAGTTATCAGCACCGACCCTTCGGAGCATCAGCATCGTTGTCAAAG